GACAGGAGCGGGGCTGGGGGACAGGAGCGGGGCTGGGGGACAGGAGCGGGGCTGGGGGACAGGAGCAGACTGTCCCCAATGCTTGTGATTCCTCTGGAGGTGACCATGCGGCCGACCCCAGGTGGCCACCGCTGCGGGTCGGTGTGAGAATTTGCTGGGAACGGGGTCGCCGTGTGCTTGTGGGTCTGACTTGCGGATCGAAGCAGACCCCAGGGGGGTCAGAGCCCTTGGCCCCTGCTGCGTCCAGAAGGGGGAGCTGGGGGAGCTTTTGGACTAGGGGGGCTGCAGTGGGGGAAGGGGGTGCTAAGAGGGAACGGAGCCATTTTTCACCTCCTCCCCCCGCCTCCCCTGTAGCCCTCAGCCCGAGGGGGCAGAGGTTGGCTTACGGCTCCCAGCACCACCCCCTTACCACTCCCGCCCCGTCTAGAAGGGCCTGGCATCTCCGCCACATCCTCCTCCCCACCTGCCCGCCCCCCCCCCCCCCAGCCGGCCCGGCCCTGATTGGCCCCCATCAGGGTGGACCCCATCTGTGCATGAATTTGTTCACCAGGCCTCTAGTATATATATATATGATTCTGTGATCACGAGACCCATGTTGCTGAAGTGAGCTGGTTCCGGGGTGCTGGTCCCTGGGAGCTGGCCCCACAGCCGTGCAGGGAGAGGGCCAGCAGGCGCTCACCTGGACCGTGTCGTAGCCGAGGACGCCGGTCATGCTGCCGGTGCCGTAAGCCACGGACAGCTTCTGGTTGGTGCCCTGGTAGGTGGAGGACTTCCGAGGGTCGAAGCGGTTGTGGTTGGCTGCGAGGGCAGGAAGGGACATTGCCGACCCCCGAAAGCTGACCGAGAGGCAGGGCCGGGCCCGTCTTCCCGGGGCGGGCGCCCGGGTGCTGGCAGGGGACTTGGGAGGAGAAGGGTGACTTCACCCGAGATTCTGGAGCCCAGGCGTTTCCAGGTCCCGGTCCTGGCTGGTTCGACCCGTTGGGACCCTCTCCCTGATGGGAGGTCCCCAGCTGACCCCACAGTGCCCCCCGGGACACCCCAGCCGAACACGAGGGGCGCAGGCCCATGGCTGCCCACTTCTCTCTGCCACTGGCCTGAACGCCTCGGGTGCAGGGACCCTGTGTGAGTCACCCCTTAGCCCCCAGAGCACCGAAGCCCAGTGCTTGGCACAGAGTAGGTGCTCAGCAAATTCCAGCATCCGGGGATGGGACCCGACGGCAGCCCCCGAGTGTCCCGGGCCCCCAGTCCGTCGGGGCTGGGCCCAGGCAGGCGGGCACTCACAGCAGGCAGGGCTGGAGCAGTAGACGGAGGGCACCCACAGGTTGGAGGAGCCGGTGTCAAAGATGACGGTGAACTCCTGAGGGGGCGTGCCGATGCCGATGGTGCCGAAGTACTCCAACTGCGGGGTGGGGTGGGGGGGGACAGCACAGCTCACAGACCCCGGCCCCCACCCTGGCCTCCCCGGGGGCTGTCTCTGGGTCGGCTCCTCAGCCCACCCCCCACCTTCCCCTTCACTGTGCTCCTTGCCTTTCTCTCCCTGCTCTATGCCTCTGTCCTGCACGGCCCAGCCGGTCTCTCTGCCGCCTCCTTGAAGCCCTCCCGGATTGCTCCCCAGTTCCCCTCTGACTGTTATCCTCCCAAGGTCCGTTGCCACCGAATGATAGCCTCATCTTGTCTGTCTCAGTCTTGCCACCCTAGGGGACAGCGGGACCCTTACAGCACCCTGTGCTCATCCATTAACGTGTCCATCGGGAGACACACAGCCACCGGCAGATGGAGCCCTTCCCCACACCTCCTTCCTATATCCAGAGTGGGCGTTGCCAGGATTTTTATTCTTGGTTTCAGCCACGCTGGTCTTGCTGTTCTTTGATGATGACAAGCTCATTCTCACCTCAGGGACATTGTGCTTGCGATTGCTTGTGCTTGGGGAACGTTTATTCTAGATCTTCCCTTAGCTGACTCCGCAGTCATTCAGAGCTCTAGTCAGTGTCACCTCCACCAGGAGGCCCTCCCTGACCACGTGGTCCAAGTTTGCCTCCCTCATTCCTCTTCGCCACTCACTCATCCCCCCATTCGTTTCTCTTCGTGCCCCTTGTCATGCTCTGACATTGTCTTACACACGTATTACGAGTCTCTTATCTGTCTTCTCCTCCAGAACTTTGCTCACTCAGCTCTTTTCTCAGCTCCTTGCCTCGCCTCTGGCACGTGGTCGGTGCCTCAGAATACGTAAGCGAATAAACGGGCTGACTCTCCCAGGGACCAGACCTGCGCTCAGTCCAAAACCTGACTGAGCTAAGCAGCGTCCACAGCCTGTGCTGGGAGGTGTGAGCTCTGCGGGAGGGAGCGGGGCTCTCAGAGACTGCGACTGGCTTGCCCGCGGTTGCAGAGAGCACATGAGCCCAGACGGCACCAGATGGCACCAGGCCGGCAGGTTCCAGAGTCCAAGCTCTCCAGACAGGCAGCACCGCTGGTCCCCTTGGCCCGGCCATTGTCACGGGAGACACAGCATTTAACGAAGGGCGAGGCGGGGCGTCATGTCCCAGATAGAAGAGTGGGAGCGACCTTCCTGTGACCCCAGGCTGACACCCGTTAGGATGGTTCAGCCAGTCAGGGTGCTGACGGTCATCAGAGACGCTGTCTGGCTCCTCCCACGGACCCTCGGCCTCACTTTGCACGTCCCTCCCCAGCCCCTCCCGCGCTCTCTGCTCCCTGCACGCTGCTCCCCGCTGCCACCGGCTCTGTCCCCACTGTCCCCGGCCCTGACACCAGCCCTCCTGCCAGCCCTCCTGCTCGCTCCCGTTCTCTGGGACCCCTGTGCTTCCCCCCCTGCTCCCGGGAGAAGTCCCACCTGCCACCTGCCACCCTGGCCTCGTGTGTCACCTTCATCGCAGCCCTCACCTGGCTGCACAGATCACTGTCTGTCTCTCCCTACCCGACCGGGGCCCCCGTGGGGCGGGGCTATGCCCGGTTGCTCCCTGCTGCTTCCTGGGCCCAGCACAGAGCCCGGCGTGCGAGGCGCCCCGTGTAAACAGGCACTGCACCCGTGAGCGCGGGGAGGAGCGAGTCCTCTGTGCCCTCCCCGAGCCTCCGCGGTCCGGGAGGGGCTCCGGTGACTGCCCGGGGGAATTAGAGTCCCCGTCCATCTTCCAGGACCTGAGCCCCTCTCTCCCTCCTCCCGGCCGAGTCCGGGGAGCCCGCCGCCCGCCAGGCACTCACGTCCATGTAGTTCTCCAGGGGCTGGGTGGCCAGCATGTCGGCCGCCTCGGGGAAGTACTTGCTGGCGGGGTTGAGCTGGTGGGTCTTCAGGTAGTCTTTCAGGAGGCCATGCTCCCTCAGGTTCGTCCGCAGGGACTTCCTTCTGACGAGGGGGACCCTGTGGCGAGGTTTGCAAAGGGGTGGTTGGGGGAGGAAGCGTCGTTAGGCCAGGAGTCTGCTGTGGGGGGAGGCGGGGAGGGTGCTGTGGAAGCAGCAGGAGGAGAAAGCTGGCCCGAGGGAGGACGGAGGAAGGAAGTTGAGCCCGGCCGGTGCGGCTCAGTGGTTGAGCGTCGACCTAGGAGCCAGGAGGTCAGGGTTTGATTCCCAGTCAGGGCACACGGCCTGATTGTGGGCTCGATCCCCAGTGGGGTCGTGCGGGAGGCAGCCGATCCATGATTCTCTCTCATCATGGATGTTTCTCCCTCTCTCTCCCTCTCCCTTCCTCTCTGAAATCAATAAAAACATATTTTAAAAAAAAAGAAACAAAGAAGTCAAGAGGGAAGGTGTTCTTATTTGGGCACAAAAATACAAAGAAGTTGGTGGTTGTCCCGAGTCCCCTGGCCCAGGGGTGGAGCTGGGACCACGCGGTCGGTGATGCCAGGTGCCCGGGTGGGTCTTACGCGCAGTGCTCTGGGCTTGGGAGTGTTTCGAGGTCTCGAACAAAACCCCACCGTTAGCGCTTCACTCCTTTTCGACTAGAACTTCTCATTTACAAACAAGGAAGTGCTCTCGAGAGAGTTACGCTGGGCTCTCTGTCCTGGACTCTTGTTTAATATACACACACACACACACACACACACACACACCCAAGGATATTTCCCATTGCTTTTGTAGAGAGAGAGGAAGAGAGAGGGAAAGACAGAGAGAAACATCGATGTGAGAGAAACACATCAAAGGACCCCGAGCCCCGACCAGGGCCCGGCCCAGGAAGGAACCTGCCACCGAGGTCCGTGCCCTTGACCGGAACCGAACCCGGGACCCTTTGGTCGCAGGCCGACGCTCTATCCACGGAGCCACACCAGCCAGGGCTGGGACTCTTGCGTTTCAATGAACAGAATGTTTTTTCCTCTGAACAGTGACCCCCATCTGCAGCGCTGGCTCCCCAAAGGGCGGAGAGAGAGAGAGAACGGGGAGGAGAGGAGTGTGAGAAGGAGGAGAAACACCTTGGAGGAGAGGCGGGGTGGGGGGGGGGGGGGGGCAGGCAGCGGAGGGGCAGCCCCTGGAGCGCTCTGTGCCCGGTGCCCGACTCACTTGTAGAGAGGAGAGGCGGGGTGGGGGGGGGGGGGGGACAGGCAGCGGAGGGGCAGCCCCTGGAGCGCTCTGTGCCCGGTGCCCGACTCACTTGTAGATGCACTCGGAGAGCGCCACCAGCCCGAGCAGCAGCAGCCACTTCATGCTTCCTCCGGCTCCGGTCTCCGAGGAGGGACGAGAGGCGGACGGGGCAGATGTGCCGGGCAGGCCGCGCGGCGCCTTATATACCGCCCCGGCGCGCGGGAACCAACCCTATCAGCCCTCAGAGGCGACCCCTTATCCCAACCCAAACACCAAGTTTCCTGATAAGATTGTCCCTCCCCCCAGCCAGGTCCTGAGAAAGTTCCAGGGACGTCGCTTTGTACCCACGTCCGTTGGCACCGCCTCCCCAGGCTGGCATGGACGTGTGGGAGCCGGTGATGGGCGGGCTGGAGGCTTAGTCCTTAGGTGACGGAATGCAGGAAAGCTTGACAAGCCGAGTATTTTGTCAAAATTTGGCTCAAGGGCTCTTGTCATTCCCCAGATGTCCGAGGAGCCCGGTGTCCCTGGTTTGTCCCCGTGGGGCCGACGGCCGGGGTTCTGGGAGAGCCAGGGTTCTGGGGGAGCAGCTCCCCGAATAGGGATGGGCTGGTTCCTGTGGCTGAGACCCCGAAGCGTGGTCCCAGGCCAGTGGCTGGGGACTGGAGACCTTTCCCTACAGAAATGTCACTGCACGGAGTTGCTGAGTGTCTTGTTCTCACGCGGCTGGGCCGAGTCCCGCAGTGGCGCGTGCGGGGCAGAGGGAGAGGGGAGGGCGGAGCGGGTGGGGGAACGTTGAGCTTGAGACAGGCCGGCGTGTCTCTGGAATCTGTGCCCCTCACTTCCCGCGCTCCTCCTCATCCACGGCTCCTCTCCCGCCCTCTCAGGTTGCTCAAAGCCTCTACTTTTTTTTTTTCCATTTTCAATGTATTTTTATTGATTTCAGAGAGGAAGGGAGAGGGAGAGAGAGAAACATCAATGAAGAGAATCATGGATCGGCTGCCTCCTGCACACTGGGGATCGAGCTGGCAACCCGGGCATGTGCCCCGACCTCCTGGTTCCTAGGTCGATGCTCAACCATGAGCCACGCCGGCCGGGCGGAGCCTACATCTTGGGGATCCCAATGGGCCTGGCTCTCTCTGTCCTCCGTGCTATGACCTGGCTGAAGCCGCCGCAGGGCGGCAAAGCCACCTGGGAAATGTGTACTCGTGTGTGACCGACTCCGAAAGTCATTTCTCCTTAAAAGACAGTCTCTTCTTAAACGCGGATGCTTATTAACCCGCTGGATTCTCTCTGGGGTTTGTTCAGCGGACAAAGCAGAGCCACAGCGTTGACGGGAGTTGTGGGGCGGGGAGTGCGGAAGGGAGGTCACCAGGAGGCGGAGAGTGCTGTGCGAGGTCTTGTTCTGAAATCGGATTTCTTGGGCCCCGGGTTTTTCAGCGCCAGGGACCTAGGTTCTAGCTAAGCTCCAGATCCCCCCGAGCCTCCGGGTGAGTGTGGAGGGGGGACCCGGGGAGGTCGGCACAAAGCGCTGTTCTGGTCTGTATTCAAGGTCACCTAAGACATCTTCCTGCCCAGACGCAGGTCCCTGACCTGCGTTTTCCGCTTTCACGTCGCCTGCTGCTTCCTCTCCTCTTTCCTTCCCCTTGAGCCTTTCTCCTTTGACCTACTCTCACCTTCTCGCTGATTCAGTGCTTATCTGGAGGGGCTGATGGTCCTAAAGATCTCCCCAAGTCCTGGGAGCACTAGGCGGAAGCCTTGGGTCAAGGCTACCACTGGGAAGGAGGGAGGGGGGAGGGGAGAGGGAGGACGGAGGGAGGGAGGGACCCTTCAGTCCGAGGGCTGATGCTCCAACCACTGAGCCACACGGGCTGGTATTCAGTGCTTCTTGATTATGCGCCTGCTTCGTGCTGGGTAGGCGTGTTCCGGTCGCTGGGGCACATCGGTGAGCAAGATGGAAAGAGGCCCGGCCTCCCGGGAGTTCACAGCTGGCCCAGGAGACACAGGAGGGGCCTCCTTCCTTTCCACCCGGATGGGCCTTGGGGTCCCACGAACAGGGAGCTCTTGGATCGCGAGGAGTTGTCTCCCCACATTAGAGATTTTAACACCTGGCGTGCTTGGTGGCCCCCAGTCCGGGCTGGCAGCAGGGCCCACGGGGGCCCCAAGTGTCCTGGGGGGTGTCATTTCCTTGTCACCCTTCCCCTTGGGCACGTGCGGGCCTGTGACGCGCTGCTGGCCAATAGGACACGGCGCTCGGACTTGTGATGACATCACACGAGCTGGCCACTGTCTTTGTGCAGATGTCACCTGCTGGCTCCCATGCGGCGCCCGCCCCCGGAGAGCCCCATGGGGCAAGGAGCAGAGCGGAACCTCCAGCCAACAGCCACCAGGGAAGTGAGCCCCCCGCCCCCCGATGATCCGCAAGGAACGGATTCCCTCCGACGACCAGGTGAGCTCAGAGGAGACGCCAGCCTGGCTGACACCTCGATGCAGCTGGAGGCCCCCAGGCAGCGGCAGCCCATGGACTTGGCTCCCCGGCCCGGGAACTGGGGGAGTGAAGGTGAGTGTGTTAACTTGCCAGATTTGTGGGCGTTCGTCACCAGCAATAGAAAGTGGACACAGGGTTGGGAACCCCTAGAAAGCCCCACAAGGTCCCCCGGCGGCTCCGTCCGGGGCCGCTTCAGTGCGGGGCAAGGGGGCTTTCTGGCGAGGCACCGAGTGTGAGGATCGGGGAGGGCGGTGGTGGCGTGGGCCGCGGGTCGCAAACCTCCGTGGATACAACGAGGTGCGCATTGTCGCGTTGCCGGGGCTCCGTGCGGTCCGAGTGCTTGAGGACACACGAGCTTTCAGAACATGATCATCTCTGCATTTTCCCTGCAGGCACAGCTCAGAGGGGGACGGGGCCAGTGCAGGGTCATGCAGCTGAGGAGTGACACGCGAGGCCTAGGACGGGCCGCAGGAGGCTCTGGTCTTGGGAGACTAGTCCTGGGCCGGGCTCTGTCTTGCCCCCCCCCCCCGCCCCCCGCGTCTGCCCCTCAGTGCAGGGGGGGCATCCTGTGGTGGCCGCAGCCTCCGTCCCGGGGGAGCTGTGGGAGGAGCGTGGGAGCTGGGACCGTGCTCGCTCCGGAGGGGCGGCTGCCAGCAGGGAAGCCGCTAATCTGTGGTGCCAGACGCCGGCGGAGAGATTAGACAACAGCGTTGACTTTGCCATTAGCGCGGCCCGGCACTCGGCTCTGAGGGGCTCCGGGAGCTGCGTCGCGGAGGGGGCAGCCCCGCCAAGGGCACAGGTGTTCAGGAACGTTCTGTGGACACAGCGAATCAGGCAGTGGAACGCGATGTAAGGAGCCGATGGCGGCAGGACCGGCCGAGACTGAGCGCGATAGGTGTTATCGGGGGTCTGATAGGCTTGCACGCGTGGCCCCGGGAATTTTCCATCAAGGCCTTACCGGCCACGAAGTCTTCCCAGGACACGGAGCCCATTGTCTGCTCCCAGCCCCAGGGACCGGCACCTGTTCTAAATATTAAACTTATAATAACATTTGGCCCAAGTCTACAAATAACGCACGTCCATTGCAGATTATTCACAGGCAAATAAAAGTTAAAAAAGGACCCGGCCCACTGCCCAGACCCCTCCCCTGTGAATGCTGTAAGTGACTGTGTTATGTACGTACAGTAAGGGGCCAGGCAGGAGAGAACACGATGTTTTTGCAGATTACTGTCGAGAGGAGAACTAAGTGCTCATGTATTTTCCAAGGGATTTCTTATCCGTCTACATCATCATTTTAAAAATGTTTCCTTGAAATACAATATACACACAGAAAGATGGGTGTCATGGGGAACAGCTTGATGAATGTCACACAGCGAGCGTATCCGTGTAACCACTACCACGTCAGGAAACAACATAGCCCTGGCCGGTGTGGCTCAGTGGATAGAGCGTTGGCCTGTGGACCCTTTGGTCTGGGGTTCGATTCCAGTCAAGTGCACGCACCTCGGTTGCAGGCTCCTCCCCAGCCCGGGCCCTGATTGGGGTCATGCAGGAGGCAACCAATGGGTGTGTCTCTCTCACATCGATGTTTCTCTCTGTCTTTCCCTCTCCAACTCTCTCTAAAAATCAATGAAAAAATATCCTTGGGTGAGGATTTTTAAAAAAGGAAACATTGCAAGGCCCCCCAAGCTCCCTTCCAGCCACAAACCCTCCCCGAAACCGTCACCCTCACTGCAGAGATGGAGGGGCCTGCGCTTGTACTTGAGGTGAGCGAGGCCGCGGAACAGGCCCGCGGCTGCGTCCGGCTTCGTTGCTCAGAATCGCGTGTGTGGGAGTCGGCAGCTCTCGCTGCTGCGTCTCGTTCCACTTGTACAGACGCCTCAGTGACCTCGTCTCTGGCCGGTGGGCATGTGAGCGGCTTCTGGCCGGGGGCTCTTAGGACAGGGCCGCTCTGAGCCTTCTGGTCTGTACCCCTCCCCTCCCCACCTCCCGTGAACGTGCGCAGGCATTTCTGTTGGGCGCGGGCCCAGGAGTGGAACTGTGGGATCCTAGGGCAGGCGTGTGTTTGGCGTCAGTAGAAACTGCTGCGTCCGGCTGGCATGGCCAGTGGTTGAGCGTCGACCTATGAACCAGGAGGTCACGGTTGGACTCCCGGTCAGGGCACATGCCCAGGTTGCGGGCTCGGTTCCCAGTGGGGGTTGTGCAGGAGGCAACCGATCCATGATTCTCTCTTGCCCTGGCCGGTTTGGCTCAGTGGATAGAGTGTCGGCCTGTGGACCAAAGGGTCTCAGGTTCATTCCAGTCAAGGGCACATGCCTGGGTTGGGGGGCCGGTCCAACTTGCAGGAGGCAGCCGATCAATGATTCCCTCTCATCATTGATGTTTCTCTCTCTCCCTCTCCCTTCTTCTCTGAAATCAATAAAAATATATTAAAAGAAAGAAAAGAAAGAAAGGAAGGGAGGGAGGGAGGGAGGGAGGGAGGGAGAGAGAGAGAGAGAGAGAGAGAGAGAGAGAGAGAAAGAAAGGAAAGGAAAGGAAAGGAAAGGAAAGAAGGAAGGAAGGAAGGAAGGAAGGAAGGAAGGAAGGAAGGAAGGAAGGAAGGAAGGAAGGAAGGAAGGAAGGAAGGAAGGAAGGAAGGAAG